GCAAAATCTCTAGACTGTAACATCTACACTTTCGTTTTCTTTATCATAAAAGAAAAACACTTTTTTATCAGAATAAATTTTGGAACTGTTTGCTTATGTTTAAAATGCTGAAACATATGATATGCCTTATTTTATGTAAACTTCTAACATTGAATAGAAGAATTTTAATTGTTAAACTCCACTTTTATTATAAAGTATACGTATATTTCCCCTTATTGTTATTAAATCTGAGATGTGAAATTGTCTTGATATGGTCAGGGAAGATCAGATTCACTCTCCTGTATTAGAACTGATTTATTGCAATGACATGTCACCGTGTTTCTTTGAAAAAGAGTTTTGAATGACAAGACTGTTATGCTGTATTTCTGTTTTCAAGAGTAAAATAACAAATTAATAGAATTGCTACCTTGAAAATCCAGTATAACACCTGGTATTTCATTCCTAATCTAACTTTCAGTACAATCATTTCAGGACATTTTAAAAGCTGTTACTTTCCTCTTCCCTCTCCTGTGTTCACAGTCATTTCTCACTGTTCCATACTTCCTTATCTCCCCCATCAACACAAACCTGAAAGTGTTTTTGAATTACAGGTAAAAAGTAACAACTAAGTAAGGTGTCACTCCCCTTACCCCCCAAATTTTGGAAGAAAAATGCAGTTGAAAAACACGACAGAGTTGAATACCTGAAAAACCATTCCTATTTACCCTTGAGAGGACATCTGAAGTGGATTAAGAGGTATACATTTGGTATTTCAGAGATCCAAAGGGTCACAGAGAAATCAAGCGTCAGTCTTGTTCATTAAATTCCTCTCCTATTTCCTCTAATAGCAGGACTCACTCAGCTTCAAACCAACACTGATCTTCCCTTCACCACTGCACATTTACTTCTCTCTTCAAAGTATAAAGGACAGTGAATGTGTAGTTATGACCTGTTTCCAGTGCAATTCACTTTTAAGAAATATCAGAAGGAGCAGACCTTCTGGAGACAAAGCAGTGTGAAGCTTCATTTTGAAGACTGTTATGGGCTGAAACATGTACTCTGTTTCTCTTCTTTCCTGAAATTCTTTATTTGTTACTTGTTTTCCATATCCTGACACATGAATTATCTAACCTGGAAGCATGCAGAAAATAGGAGAGAAGTGTAAACTGTATCAGCCATGGCGACTGAGAAACGTTAAAGGTTGCAGGCCTACAGCACAAGTTTTTCTAGATTTCCTCAGGAGAATCTTCATTCCTCTGAGCTGCTGCTGTCAGTACCCTACTCCTCACCAGGCCACGGTGCATTCACTAGCCTGCCCCTTTCAGTGCTCACAGCTATGTTTTCATGAGAATAGTTCTCATCAGATTGATGCAAAAGTCAAGAAGTCTCATGTAGCTGAAAGCTGAGTTCCATGGATTCAAGCTGCTTATTTGAGACAAGCATATTTGTTCCCACTTAATCAAATTTCCACAGTTTCTCCATCGCACGCACACATGCACACTTACTTGCACCCACAGATGAGCAGCCTGTCAGAACTAACATTGTTACATAGTATTGATAATTTGGAAGTTTTCGAGAAACCCTCCCCAAATAATTCATCATTTTAGAAAAAGAAGTCACTGTGGTTTTAAATTCTTTAAAGATACCTTTTTTAATACAAAACTGTTTTTGGAGTTGTTTGTTCAGGAAAACATACCCTGAAACATTGAAGACTTACCCCAAGTGCAACAGCAGGGAACTAGTTCAATAATCCCAGAACCACAGAAAATACTTAACATCTATGAAAGGATCATTTCTCATTTCTACCACAACTTCTTTTTTCCAGAACCTGTGTTTTGCCATGTTTGTATAAAAACCTTCTGAGTATGGCTAATATGGATTAATTTTATACAGATTTCCAGTCTCCAAATGACATTTTTTTAGAGAAAAGAAATAATGATTGAGGAATGGAGATATGCTTGATATTAAAATATAATGATGACTTGTTGTCCTAGCACTTGCTGTATAACAGATGATGGCAGTAAATTAATCCATCCTCTTGACAGTCATTTCACGATAAGAATGAGAAACCTTACCATTTTCATTGCAGGCCTACCCTATTCTTGTCCTCAGTGTGCATTTCCATGACAATGACTGTAATCATTATAACAGCATTGTACATAATGACTCTGCTTTCTGTGATGTTACTCCCAAACTGGATGTGAAAAATGTGAAAGGACAGATCTCAAATGGCAAAACTCTCACCAGTGAAGCAGAGTAGTCTACAGAATTAATAATTGACAGAATTGATAGCGTGCTGCCACCGAACAGAAGCCTGGAATTAAAGGGCACCAGTCACATAGCCTTCCTTCATAAACTGAGGGGCTTTGCATGAAAAACTCTTGTTAAATTAAAGGCACATAGAATAAGACCTTGATGAGGTGTGTACAATTAAATGCAACATCAGTAAACCTTCTATTTTTCAAAATGAAAAGGAACTCATGCACAATGACCACTAATGAAATTTTGCTGGCTACTAAAATTATGACAGTCTCAGCCCGGCTTTCCTTTTTTCTGAATTAAAAATACATGCCTGAGCTAATGTGATTGATCTTTGCAGTAAATCAGGTCATCAGAACCATCACAACAAATGGAAAATAGAGTACAGATGCTTCTAAGTCCCACAAAGCTTCTGCAAAGATGAGCTTACTAATGTTGTGAAGTACTCAGGGTAGAAAAAGATGAATACCACAGGGAATTCTTTGAGGAAAAGGGGAGAAAAATTGGTAAGTACAGAGGAAGAAATGTCCTCAAACAGGGCATGTAGTCACATTCTGACCACAAAGGATTAAAAGAAATCCTACTCATTGATCTCTGTAAATGTAGCATTAATAGAGTGGTCAGAGGATGAAAGAAAATATATAATGCTATCATAGGAACATAACATTGAAAGGGACCATCCTTTAGCTCACTGAGACCAGGACTCTGTTCTTGAATGCAATCATGTCTATAAATGCCTTCATAAAGATAAGCACGCTTTACTTTGAAATCCCTTTAGATTTGTTTCCACTCTTCCTATTAGTAGACTCTTCCAGAATCTCACTTGTGTTCTTATTTCCATTCTAATTTAACTCATGGCCTCCAAAACCTCATTTTTTCAAGTAAGGCTGAATCAACTTAAATAGCAATTCTCTTTCCCTTGTGGTTTCTTCTGAAGTGTATTTATAGAATAATACATGCTCTCCACTATTATTTGTGGGAGTAATTAAACAAACATATTTTATTCTCCACCACCCCCCCAACCATAGTGTTCAATTTTCTCTGTATAGCTTCATATATAAATTCATTTTTCTTGGCCAAAAGTAATCATAGCAGTAAACAGGTTAACATTATTTTTCACAATGGCTTCAATACCATTTTATCTCTGTTTTGATTATCTCAGCTTTTGCAGCTTAGTATCATATTTACCTTCTTTAAGGTATGACAGTAGAGGCAATAATTGATCTGGTGACCAGATCTTTCTCTTCCTCTGTCACTTACACCTGACAAACCAGTAGTGTATAACAGAAATTCATGATGATGTTCTGTAAGAGCCTTATCACGTTGTGGTCCTGAGCTTTACTCTGTATCTCCATATGCAAATCTTATTCATGCTACCTAGCTCTTTCCAGACAATGTTTTGACTCTCCTGCATAGCTTTGCATCAGGAACATGTTTGTAAAATGTTTCTTCTATTCCAAAATCATTCATGAAAATGATAATCAGCCTAAGATGGGTCTGGAAGCATACCTCCTCATCCCCTTATTCGTTTTAAAAGCTTCTCTTTCAATGCAACCATCTCCACTTAGAAAGGTCCTTCCCCAGTTTACATTTCCTGCACAAATCTCCACAATTTTCTGTATGCTAAAATACTTGGTATTTTACTAAGGTTGGCATAACTAAATTTTTTTTTGGTCTTTGTGTTAACAGTATCTTAAATACAGATGCTCCACTTGCTGTTTTTAGTTAAGATGATACTGTTCAAATTTGAACGCCCTTGCTACCAGACATCTGTGATTTCAGAAGCTACTGGTTTCCTTGGATATTTTTCATACTCTAAGATATACTGCTCAGGATTCCCAATTTGAAGGCAAATTAAAATGAAATAATTCCTCTTCCATGCCCTCGTCTCTGTTAACCATCTTTCTTCACCCCTCATATTCAACATCTTTCTCCATTTTCATTAAGGAAATTAAGATCCATCTAGATTACATAATAAAAAATTGTATCATAATGCTGAAAGGCAGTATTCAGGTGGAGAAAAGCTCCATCTGTCACACATCTTGCAATAAAGCTATATATACAGTTTTGTGTTATTTTAATGCAAATTTCAAACCCAAGCTATACAGACAACTTTACACATGATAAACCAGACTTCAGTTGGCCAGCCTACAACTGCATCAGCATGAACCTTACGCCTCTATATATATGTCAAAACATAAATGCAGGGCTTGTTCTCACAGGCTTCTGAGGAACTGTAACAAGTAACACACCTCCTGCCTCTTTTTATGAAGAAAGTCACAGTGGATTTCCCTTTGGAGCAGTCCTTTCCCACCCTACCCTCAGAGTGGAATGAACACCCTATGGACCCTGGGCTGCACTTATTCCCTGAAGTAGAACCGAATCTTACTCTGAAATAGTCTGGAAAAGTCTTTAGCAGTGATGTATTTAAGTCCCATGCATTTGGGGTTCTAGAATCTGATGTAAGAGGATCAGTTGCACTCACTCTGTGTTTAGCTGAGCTCAGAAGAAATGCTATTTTATCATATTTTAATATCTTCATCCTATTTACTTTTATTTATCTTTTTTCTTTATAATAAACACAGGAAGTATACATAGACAACTGGCAAGTTCACTGTGCATGTATGTAGCAATCCAAGAGTCGTCCTTTAAAAAAGGTGCTGCCGTCTAAGGAGATACCTGGTTTTCCTCTATCAATGCCACATTTCAGAGGATGGGAAAACCAAAACCAAAACCAAAAAGAAGACAATGAATGGCCTTACCTTTCCTACATATTGAGGATCTGGTCCCATGTGTTCTTCTAAAACAAAGAACTGATTCCACACCCATCCACGCTTGGGACGATGATGCACTTCTGTTTCACCTTCTGCGTGTTTGGTTTGATTTCTAGTCACCTTGATGGAGCCATGGTGAGCAGCTCCATAACACCTCTGCACAAAACAGAGACAAACTAGGACTGGGCAGATACAAGATGTACTTGTAATTCTCATTGTAGGATAAGCTTCCTGTTCAAGGTTTTCTTTCTCTTGTCTTTTTCAGCTGTAATCCTTTAATAAGTTCCCGAGACAGAAGGTGAAGCCTGGTTCAGAAATACAGTCCAAAATGTTTTTTTCTGCTTGCTCATGGTTTAGCTGCCCATTTGGGAAAGCTCAAATTATATTTACATTATGAAAAGCTGACTGGAAAAATTGATATTTCTTCTGAGGTCTTCACGATAGAGTTCCACAGCCGACCATTTTCTATCTAATAGGGAAAGAAAAGAAAGCCACTTACTCATCACTAAAACCAGCAATTTTCAGGTTTCTGACCTTAGATTACACTCACAGCTGTACTAACCAGTCTCTCAAAGACTCTCATTGTAACTAAAATTTCTTTTCAGTCCTTCCTGTAAAAGTGTTTTCTGACTGTTTTTATTAAAATACCTTAAGGATTAGCATGGCTCTTCCAAGCTATGAAAACAGTCACATTATTAAAAACTGGATTCAGGACAGTTCCTTTGGCCTTTACCTGCAAATCACTGACCTGGTCTGGCAGTAAAATAAAATCACTGCTACAGATATTTGATAGATACTGATTAGTAATTCATTTCATACAAGTTCTTGATCTTCTGTACACCACACAGAGATCCAACATGGTGAAAAATACCAAGGCTATAATGGGTTTCAAAAGAAAGCCTCCAAATTGGGCTTTGAGGATTCTGAGTTAATATTAGAGCATACTACAGGAACTTTCAGTCAAAATGTGCACTTTTACACTGTGTGCTTTACATAAATTCCAACCAATATCATACTGGAACCTCACAAAATTATTTCATACTGACAGAAAGTTCAGGTACTGTTGTTTAGATGATCAGTATTATTTTTATAAAAGCATCTAAGTTCTCAGTGAGAATATTTTGTCAACTTCAAAAAGGAAAATGTAACCTTTTCTAGTACAATAGTAAAATGTGAAAATGCGCATGGAGGTTGATGTAGCGCTTAAACCAAAGTACCTTGAAAGAAATGAAATAACTCTTCAAACTCAGATAAACAGTCACCTTAAGGTAACCATTCAGTTTTCTGAAGATATCAAAGATGAGTCAATCAGGAGTCTCAAAACATGCAACGAAATCTAAAAAAATTAGACCTGTTTTCCAATATTGGCTTTGTTTGAGTATCATAAAGCCATTACAAGTTATGTAATCAGAAGCACAGTGAAACTAATTTTGTTTCTAAGTTTCATGGGAACCCAGCAGAACAAATTCAAAATCTCTAAAGAAGTACCAAACAAGAAATTAGAAATCAGATGGAAAAATACTGCAGTGGAAGGAAGCTCATCAACTGTCTTTTGGCTGCAGATTTTTTTCCCTTATGCTTCTTTCAAATCCATAATAATACTGGAAGCCCAACCATACATTCTTCTGTATTCATCTAAGTACAGTTTCTCATCAGAATGATGGAAGAATACTTCAGAACTGTTGTACATTAGAAATACCAAGAAAGGACATGTTTTCCATTGCTATTACTCAGTTCAGGACAGTGGGTTTTGCTGAAGGAAGAACTCCAGTCTATTGCAACTGGGCTGGAGTTCAAAAAGAAACTCTGTATGGTATTTTCCACGGAGGAAAGAAATTTTTAGACATTTAGTATTATCCTGCTTCTTATTTCCATATCAATGTAATCTCCCCTCAACCCCTACAAAGACCAAGCCACTGGTCTCTTAAAAGCCTCACATCCCACCTCAGAACAGATTCATACAACATGATGTATTATTACCTCCTTTAAGTAAAAATGTAATTTAAAAGGAATTTTTCACAGTTAAATGTTATCTGAAGTTTAAGTTATACCAGGGACAGAATCTAGACATTCTGGGTCTCACATTTGTTTCTAACTATATATTCTTCTTTCTTATTTTCCCTGCCTTTCTGCATTCTTTCCTGATTCTTGCTAGAAATCAGTTTTTGCCTTGAGGCATGCAATTTCCTTCTAAAGATTTCTATATTTACAGATGAGCTATTTAAATAGTCATTGTTATACTTCAGATGCATGTTAAAATTAAGCAGTACCTCACAAAATGGTAAGGCTGCAGTTTTATCCATTCAAGTATTATTTTTCTTCCCCTTGTTTCCATCTTGGGAAATGCCTGGGAGCAGTTCATAAGACTATAAGCAGCACATAATAAGTTAAAAATGGTATATAAGTGCATTGAGATTTCTAAGAATGGCACATTTAAAAAGTATTTGAAATCATTACTACTGAACTTTCCTTTATAAAAACTGTGGGGATGATGGTGGTGGAAAATTCTTACCTTACAAAAGAGTAAATATAAATGAGTGCAGAAGATACCAACAAATCAAGATTTACTATACAGAACTTGTTTCTCCCCCTTCTTAGAAGTCATCCATAGAAAAAAATAAAAAAATACCAAAATGGAGCCTGTAAACAGTGTTGTTTTACAGTCTGGCTCATATATGACTTAGAATAAATATGAGAAAAAAGTGGTAAATTATGAAGGGCTTCTTCATCTCAAAAATATCTGTTCTTCTTAGCATTAACATTAACTAGGACATGTTGCCATAACCACTATGTTATTTAACTCAATTCAGAGATTAACTGTTAAGCATCTGCCCCCAAAATTAAAGTTTTAAAATTCTTTATTCTGAACAAATAAAAAGAGAGATTGCAATGGCATCTACTTCCTGTTATAATCACGTTCAGGCCTCAGCTGTTCCTGCATTGTGTGTGAAGCCTACGATAAATTCAGCACCCTCCTACCAAAGGTCTAGCATAAACACTCATTAAAAACCTGCCCCACCCACCTCAACTCTGCCCTGAAGACAGTAAAGTTTGCCTACGGGGGAAGTACAGATGGAAAGACCTTGAATGGTTAACACAGAAGAGGCAGTAAGCAAAGAACAGACAAACTTGAACTGTGAGTGACTAAAAAAAAAGGACTGAACTTTCGGAAATCCCTTAAATTGTTGCCTTAAGCTAACATACTGAGATGCTGACTGCTCAGTACTCGTCTGCAGCTTCAGATTAAGTGTCCTGCTTTATGGTTTTTGTTATAATGATGTATGCAACTGCAGAGTAGACTTGTGTTATTGCTGTCTCCTGGGAGCCTTCATGAAACCGAGCTGTGCATCTCAAGAGACTGTCAGAGTGAGTTAAAATTAAAATAAATAATTAAATAAGATGAGGTGGGAAAAGTTCCACCAGCATTGCTGGAAATCATTACAGCAGAGTAGTTACTGCTTAGTGTGGCAGCAAGTCACTATAATGAATTCCCAGGAAACGAGTATGAGCACAGTGATGCAAAAATGTGTATGCTTTACCATCATGAGAAGATGCATCCTTAGTAGCGAAGACTTGTCCTGAATCTCAGTGTCCCCCATCTTCCATAATCAAATTGACCACATATTTGAATTAATCTGAATGATTCAGTTTTGCAGATGCACATTCAGCATAGCTCTACACACCTTTCGTCACATCCCTGGGGGACCCTTTTCAGTCCCATGGTGACAGAGTGGCAATTAGTTATGGAACTTGTAATAAATTGCATTTCTCGTATACTTTCTGACTTCTCCCTCTGCACTCTGCCCTCTAGGCTTCCTCCCTGTCAGAACAAATTCTTCCATTATCAAAATCCAACCAGCTTCACATCAACATCATTATTTAGATATAAATAATTAGGCAGGGGAATGTTTCTTCCTTCCTGCGTTGCCTGTGCTTAGTCTATTGCCAATGCTATATCCTTCAGCCCTGCAGAAATAATGCTGTATTGACCTGGAGACCAAAGACAAAATAATGGGCTAGTATCAGAAGGAAAAACTGGATGTTGTTTTTTGTTCTGTCCTTCTGAAGAAGAGGTTGATAGATTGCCAAAAGAATATACAGTACTCCTGTGGACCTCTGGTAATTGGCAGAAAAAAGTGGAATTTCTAGGTAGATGAAGGGAAATGGTTCATCTATAGTTGATCTCTATTCTCTTTTCCCAAGGCTGGTAGAGCTGAGCTATGGGACTTTACATGAAAAAAAGAGGCACTGAGTTTTTCTCAGCCTATGCGATACAGACACAATATAAAATCATCAGTGCTTTCTAACAAACAGTGCCTTCTGCACATGCTAGTCAATCTGACAGAAGTAGTGTCAAAACTGTTTTGGAAAGCATTTAAAAACTGTATTACATGTTGTTGTCTTGCCCCTTTGTTGTAATGTTGTAGCTATGTGTATGAGACTAAAAATTAGGAAAAAAAATAATTAAATAAAATGTTCTTAATAGTTTAATAGCAACTTCAATAACTACAAATTGTTATTGTTCTATATTGACAGATCTTCTAGAAATGCGAAACTGGACTACTTTTTTACTTCAATAGCATAAGGAAATTTTCTTTAATTTGTAAGATAACTGCATGAGATATTGAACTCCTAAATTATTGCTGAATTTATGTGTAAGTATATTACTATTCTGGAAGCTATTCTTTATTATTCTGGAACTCAAACAGTTTCCTAAAGAAACAGAGAGAAAAGAGCATTGGGTATCTCCGTCCTCACCTCTTTAAGCCAACAAACCCAGCTGATGGCTGTACAGTGTCAAGAGGTGTTATTTCTTGTACCTCTCTTTCACGCTTACACAAAGTCTACTGGTAAAGACCATGTCCAATCACCAGAAAGTGTCTATGCTAATCTAGAACTGACTTCTATTTCACCTAGTAAATTACTTTACATAAACTCCCTTTTACAAAATAAATAGAAATAACCACAAAACAAAGCCTCCATGAAAAATAAAGATTGTTCTTCCATATAAGGCAACAGAAATTCTGTTGTGGGGAGAAAGGTGTGGGGAGGAAAAAGTGAGAAAATAAAAGGGATCTAAAACTGACAAGCAATCAGACATTATAAAAAGATAAATAACAGAATAAAATTTAGAATAAGATACAACAAAGACAATGAAAAATCTCGGGGAAAAAATCAAGATAGAGAAGCAAATTGGAAAGTTCAAGTGGAAACAGCTGAAGCTGTGCAAGCTAATATGTGAAGCTATCAGAGATGATTTTTCTCTCAGCTCTGCAAGCATGTGTGTGTAAAAAATGTAGTACAATT